GATAACTGTTAGTTCTATCTTCATATTCAATAGCACGCTTATCCGATTAAAAACGCCTTAGAAATACGCAAAATACTAAGAAACTTTGTGCAAGTGGCCGGAATTACCCCATCTGACTCTATATATAGTTTATACACATAAAATGGCAGAATCAAGACAAAATTAGTGTATTCAATTTTCTTTTCTTTAGTCTAATTTGATAGTGATACGGAATGGGATAAAACCTATCCAGTTATTACTATTACCGTCTGGTTTCCTTACCACTATCAAATTAGACTAAAGAAAAGAAAATTGAATACAGTAATTTTGTCTTGATTTTGCCATTTTATGTGTTTAAACTATAGATCTATATAACTCGTTAAGTTTATTTTATTTGTCTGAAGAAGTTGTCGTCGACAACGAAACATCACATTGGAAATTCTAAATAATTTAAATAAATTTGTGGAAGAGTATTAAAGAAAAATGTCAAATTTATCAAGATACGTAGAGAGTATAGGAAGAACAAATGATAGCGAAGAGAAAGAGTGTACAGAAGGAAGATGTTGAGTAAATGGTAAAGACAAGAAAGTACAAATAGAAAACAAATTTGATCTGTTTTTCTGCCGTCACAGATATTGATGCCACGTGCAAGTTTACCATCCTCATCATCAGCTGAACAAATCATCTATAACAAAAATGAACGCAAGGTTGAATTTGTCAATGTTAATATTCCTGAAAACAATGTTTCCATTTTCATTTCCAATGTTCAATACATGGTGAAGTGTGATGAGATACAAGCATATTGTGAAAAGTATTATGGCGCTCTGCATGAACAGAATGGAATTTACCAATCGGGGCCGGGTCTGTTTTTTGTCAAATTCAAAAATAAACAATCCGTTGATTCATTTATGGATGATAGACCGAAGCATAAATTGGGTTTTAGGCAATGGTCATGTAAACGAATGTTTGAAAAAAATAAATATGAAAATTGTCCTGGTCGATATCAAGTATCAAACTTTTTATCGATAACATTGCTCGAAATCGACAAAAATCAAGTATTGGATATTGGAGTAATATTTCAAGCATTTAGAGCACAAGGTCGAATTATATCAGTTAAAGAGCAAGAAAAATCAACAAAATTTATCGTTGAATTCGACGATTATGATACCGTGGATAAAATTTTGCTGGAAAATACAGACAGAAACAAAATTATCCTAAATATTCCAACAAAGTTAGAAAAACATCTGGAGAAAGTCACATCAACGGAAAATAGTGGAAATAAAGAAAGCAGGCAATTGGAAGCAGAATTACATCATTTACGCCTGGGTAATCATGCGTTAAGAAGAAGAGAAGAAAGACTTGAAGAAGAAATAAAATATTTACGTCGTAAACGTGAAGTAAGAATAAGCGAATGTTTCTGTTAACTGAACTAATGTTTGTCTTCTTCTAGCATTCACCGGATAATGAAAGAAGAAAAAAAAATAAACAAAATTTTGTAAATACATGTGTTTTTTTGTCAAATTACTGTTTTGAACTGTGATATATATCAGAAATTTTTTAATAAAAATAGGAAAACTTTTTGTTAAAAATGTTTTCATAAAAACGGTGTGTGTTTTATTCGTCATAACTGGATCCACAGGTCTTTTGATGGATTAATTCCATGATTGCTTTCATAGTCTGATGTGACTGAGAAATGGTTAGATAACTAAGATTGATGAAAGAGACAAATAACGAAATATCTACTCCTTTTATGGTAAAAAGAAAAAGGGTTTAAGAAAAACTTTAGCTAAAAATTGTGTATATAGCAAAAATTATACTTTTCTATGAAACAAACTAATTAAAATAGAAATTAATCAACGGGCAGTAAATCGTGTACTCGTTTCTTTACAACAATGTTCTCACATCATTTTTTCTTTTAGTCCTCTCTCTTGCGCACAGTGGGCAATTCTGGCTAGAGCAGGCAGACATGTGCTATTAATTCAATAATAACTTTTGATAGAAAAGAGCTAGAGAGCTCCGATCTTCGCCATTCAAAAGAGAAGACTTGAAAACACGTTTTCATAATCAACACTGTTTTCAGAGGAGTTTTCTGAAACAGGTTTTCTAGGAGATCTTTGGACAACTAGGCTGTCTGTAAAAATTTTCCAGTAGGATTGTATTGCTTTTTTTCCATGGACTGATAGCCCGTGATGTTCTCTTAAAAATGGGAGTAAAGTGAGACCTTGATTTTCCGTGGTTCGGGCGTTGTATCGAATTTTCTACGAGTCTCAGGACTGGCATCCAGTGACTATTGGTAGCCTTGAAGACGGATGCAATATGGGTAATCGACCATGCTGAGTCTCCTGGCAATATTTGTTTTTAGAAAAGTTCTAAAAATCTACCGAAAAGCGATTACCAAAATCACCATTCACTCAATAAACATCAGAACGAGTTCAAAATTTCGTAATGTAGAGTATTTAAGCTATTCCATATCCTGTTTAAAGGAGATCTCAAAAGAAATTTTATAAAACCCTAAGGTTTTCCAAAAGGTTTTCTGGAAAACCCAATAATAAAAATATGCTTTTTCTGATTTTTCGATCATAAAATTACGTTTAGCGGAGGAAATCAACCATAATATTAGGTGAAAACAGCCTGAAAACTCCCATTTTCGTAAAACTCCCATTTCGGTAGATTTTTAGAACTTTTCTAAAAATAAATATTGCCACGAGGCTCAGCATGATCGATTACCTATAGTCCATCCGTTTTCAAGGCTACCAATAGTCACTGGGTGCCAGTTCTGGAACTCCAAAAACCATGGTTTTTTGGAAAACCTCCAGCAGAATGCAGAATCACTGACGCTAATTGGCGCTATGGTCCATGGTAGAACACATATAGAGGAATATTTGGCGAAAGGTTGTGCTCGATTGAACTTTAGCTGTTTGTAGCGTTTACAAAATACAGAATGATACATGTTTGATACTCGATTTTAGCTTAGTAGATTTTTTTTTCTGTAGCAATTTGAGTTCAGTCTAAACGATCTTTTCATTAAAATGGAGCTCATAGATTAATAATTCTTTTCAGATAGTTTTTCAAATTAAACTATTCCAATAAGTTGGCCAAAAATTAACTTTATCTGAGAAGAGCGATTTTTGAACAAATTTCTTAGTATGTGTTTTTCCAACGTTCACCTTAAGTTCTGAAAGTGCTATTTCAGGACAAGATAGATCAAAGACAGAAGTAATTATTCTAATGCTTAAACTTTGAAAAATAGCACTTTCGTTTTATGTCCGCCTGGTTGCCCACTGTGTTGCGTATACGTGCGTATAAATCTATACTAGAATTTTCTATATAGAATTTAGAATAAGGCTTTTTGTTAGTCACTTGTTACACATCATATCGCTTTCTCAATTTATTCTTATCTATTGACACGGTACTTTCTATCCAAATAAAAAAGAAACTAATTCAGCTATGCTGAAATTATTACAAAGTAATCTTTGGGTCTCTTCTGCAAAATTCTAGAATTTTACATTTTAAGAATTGCAGAATATTACAATTGCAGAATTTTAGAAATCTAAAGTTCTAATATTGCGCAATTATTAAAATCTAAACTTCCACAATTCTAAAAATGCACTATTCTGAAGTTTGATTGCATGTATGTCTCATGTGCTGCATAAAAGCGGCGTATACTAGAATTTTAGAATTCATGGTAGCGCCATATAGTACTATTTTTACTTTTCCGACAGCTGTCAGCGATTTCCTGCAAGATTTTTGTGATAAAAATACATGTAAAATATTTTACAAGGTTCTCGTCTGAAATGCCAAGAAACAAGAATTTTGCAAGCATACCCACAAGAAGGTCGACTAGTGCCCGTAAGAATTTTTATTTTGTGTTCGTTATATATATAGAAATATAGTCTATACAAAATTTGGAGGTGGTGCAGTGAAGAAAATAGATTTAAGTAAGAAAAGAATTAAGAATTTAAGAATTTTGTCGCAGTGCTATATTTCTTACTTAAATAGTCTATACAATCTGTATATAATTTATAAGGCGGACACGTGCGTGATAGAAGAAGATATGTGTTGTTGTTATTCACATTTTAAATGAGATGAGAAAAACACAGTGTGCGTTTAAACACTCTCTCATAATAAGATATGCCTTAAAATATTGTAATTTTACGTAGTTCATGCCATAGCACATGGACAGATACTTCTTTTTCAATTAAAATTTCATTCTAGATATATAAATTGACTACCGCATCCACAAGATTACCACAAATACATTTGACTTTTTCCTGCAATTTTTTTTCAGATAGATGACCATTAATTAGACTATGTACTTTTCACGCATTATTTCATCTTTGAGATGTGTCACTGATCGATGTTCTTGCGAGATTCTTGCCTCTTGCCATTTCAGAGAAGAATCTTTACATTTGTCCCAGACAAATTTAAAGATTTTGTTTTAGAACTTTAAAGAAGAATTTTGTCTGATCTATCACTGATAGATCAAACAAGATTCTTCTTTGAATTTTTCATCTTTTTTCGTGAAAGATTCTTGTCTGAAATAACAAGATTCGTTGACGATGAAACCACCAATTTGTTTTGTCAATTCCCGTACTATATATATATATATATATAACTCATAGTACTATACATAGTGTCCATCAAATTTTTTTAAATCTCACAAGATTCTTGTCGAGAGACAATCGAGTCTTTATATGTGTCTGTATTAGCGTCAGAGCGGCTAGCTCCCATATATATGAAAAGAAAAGAAAACGCAAAATGGATTATATGTTGATTTGTTTCCAAGATTCGTTTAAGAATTACAAGACAAGATTCTTGAAGGAAATCTATGACAAGGTTCTGGGCTGAAATTTCTGTCTTGTGATTTCAGCGAAGAAAATCTTGAGATAAAACTATATGTAATATTTTTGCATGATTATGACGAGTATTAACCACAGAAGATATGGTGGATTTGAAAAGGACCTCACATCTCAGGACCTCATGTTCTGGGACCTCGATCGTGAAATAGTTGTTTTTCAGTAACCACCATTAACAAGCTACCTCTTTAAATTCATATCGTAGATAGAGGAGAATCAGGACTACATTTTGGTAAAAAAAAGGTTTTCATCTCTCTTGGATCAGGAGTTATTAGCATTTTACGGAAAAGAAGTAAAACACTTATATCTCACTTGGTGCAAAAAGAGCGATATCGATTATTGTCCGATACTGTTAAAGAGAGAGAAAATGTACTTTTTAACAAAGTAAAGAAATATTAGGTACAAGATTGTTCATGATTATGAAAAAAAAATACAAGTCATGATCGGTTTGCTCGATAATGCTCGATTTCTAACACGCAGCATCCAGTATATTAAAAGACAACTGTGGCGGGCTCAGTCCTAAACTAGTGAGATTAAGTGTGGTGACTAAACCAATATTCGATAATCTCGGTACCGGCTAAAAAAGGGTTGTAGTACCAACACCGGCAATTTTCTAAATCGTAATCAGTCAATTGCTCATTCCACATAACTGCATATATATTTCGCTGATTGTTTTAGATGACGACTAACGAAGTTTCAGATCACGATATTAGAACAGAATGTGATGATCTCATGGTTGTTGATCGTGATAACACTAGTTGTTCGATTAATGGAACTATTGTTCGTATTAGATTGGAACATTTTATGTAAGTTGAAAAAGCACTATGATCGTTATACTAAACATTTGTTACTTCATCTATTTACCAGGGCATATGATTCACAGGAGATGTATCCTGATCCTGGATTGAATATGATTATTGAATCGGATGGCAGCGGGTACGAACGGTTCTGTATCTTTAAGAATGGATGATGATTATAACTCCGCGTTCTTTAGGAAATCATCATTACTTTGCGCAATACATCTAGCTTTATGTGGTTCAATCGATACAAGTGATAGTGCGCAAAATGTTAGCGAATACATTAAAAGTGGTTGTGAAAAAGCGACAGTTGAAATTGAATTGTAAGTTATAGCATCTTTTGTAGCACAATAAAAACGTTTCTAATTTACACCTTGCGGTTTGTAATAGACTAAATGCTGACAATGGTGCCAACTGGATCAT